TTACCCAGATATGCTGCTGGAAAGTCCATCAGCAGTACCACCACAGACAACGTAGAAGCCTAGTGGCTTTTTCTTTTCAGTATCTAGCAGAGACTGAAGTAGATTGTGTTCCCTGCACAACTGTACATCCTCCCTCTCTTCCCAGCTAAGGGTTGGGTAGTGGTTTTCGTTGCTCTCAGAATGCCTAAACATTTTCTGTGAAAAGTTTTGGTGCTTGAACTTGTGTAACTGAAGGTGATGCGTTGCATGAAAGGTTTGTCTGAGGCTCAGCATGAATTTGTATTTGCAAAAAGATACCCGAGAAGTTACAATCTAAAATAAACACCTTGACCCGGAAGCCTTGTGACATAGTTGGGTAAAATAGGTTCTAACACTGGTTGTGCTTGCTGTTGAGCAGTTCCTAAACTGTATTGCTAGCTGATCCCAATAAAGAGATTAGACAGCTGAATTATAAACCAACCTATTTTTCAGGCACTTATAGATCAGGGGTATGTACTGTATATTGAAAGTAATATAAAGGCACATCAAACAGATATTAATCTATCCTGCTAGCACATGCAGTCTTCCAAAGAACAGGATTTAAAAAAAAATAATCTATAAGACTTTGCTACCTTGTTCTTACAGGAATACATTTGAGCTACTGTTCTTTATGTCTTGTTTGAAAAGCCGAAGTTTTGTTTCCTCATCCATGGTGAGAAGGTTAAACCATCCCAGTGTAATTTTCTCACCTCCATGTAATTTTAAAACTTTGTACTTCTCATTCTCAATGTGCATAACGATTATTCTGTGTCATTCCAATTGACTAAGACTTGTCAATCCACTTCCCTCTGCTGTGTTTTTGTTTGTAAGAGCATTTTGACTGGTAGCAGCACTTTTGCAGAGGTACCTTTACTCATGCCAGGAAAGTTGTGTGTGAAGGGGAGTGGCTGTGCCGTAGAGTGATGCCAGTGCTGTCTGTGGGAACTGCTCTTATCACACATCAAAGGCACTGATGGCTGAGAAACCTGTTTCTGGACTCATTAAAACAAACTACAGGAGCAGAAATACAGTAAATAGTTTTCTACAGCAGTGTGGGTAGGATCATGTTATAATAGGCAGATGTCTTGGTGGCAGTTTCAAAGTCTTAACAGTTACGATGTCTTGTAACTGCTGCAAAATCTGGTGTGGAGCTGGAAAACACAATTTAAATTTTTTTTATGCAATTCAAAATGTAGTTTTGTTCTTTGTAAAGAGTATGTACTTCACAGGTACCTTTGAGAAATATTAGGAAATTAGTATGTGTAGCAGTGCAAAGAGCAGGTGATTTTTAATAGAACCTATGGAACTATCTCTGCCTCCTGTTCATATCACACTAAATAGCTGCTTTTATTTGAAATACATGTTAGAAAGCAGTGTAAGTAGAAAAGAGTTTAATGGTAAATTTTTGAGATGAGTTCAGAACAAAGTGTTAAGGCTCATAAATAGACACAAATTCAATATCTCTTAAGGCATTAACAACGGGATGGGGGTTTTTGGAGGTTTGTTTTGGGTTTGTGTTTTTCGTTTTTTTCCCCCCTCCAGAAGCATATGAAAAAGTATGGACATCGTGGCTGTAATTACTGCTGCTGTGGTTTTTGAATTTCACATATGGTGTTGGGCTTTTTTTTTGTGTTGTGTGTTTTTTGTGTTTGTTTGTTTGTTTTTGTGTGTGTGTGGTGGGGATTTCGTTTGTTTGTTTTTTAATAATAAACAGAAATAGTATTTCTTCACAGTCCTCCAGCCTCCCACCTTTTTGAGATATTGCAGGTAGGTGAGAGTTAGGATTGTGCTGAATAGAAATTCTGGAGCTCTAGGAATTTCATTATGTAAACTAGTTTCATGTAAATTGTGTTTAAGAAGTAAATCAAGTGTTCTTGTAGAAACATTCTGTTTGAAGTAATTTGAGCCATGACAAAAGAAAAAATACATTACTTTTGTTCCTAATGTATTGTAGAAATTGGCTGAAAAAATGTTGTTGGGACCACTTGTTCATTAGTATTAAAATATAATGCAGGCTGATGTTTGGAATGCGTGTGAGTTCCTTTTGTAAGGTTGTTTTGTTAATGGTGAATCAATGCCAACAAAACTTCACTGTCATGAATACTGTAGTAGCTCTTTACTCTTGAGGTGTATGTGATCTAATTTTATCTTAGGTGATGATATTTTTTTTTTTCATAGTCTTAAGCTGTGAAGTTTCAACCTAACCTGGTATCTATTCTACTTCTCTTTAAGTCGTGTGATTAAGACAGACATGGAGTTGGAAGTTCTGCGCTACACCAATAAAATCTCCAGTGAAGCTCATAAAGAGGTAATGGATCCTTTACTGTTAATAATTTTTGCTCTTAGTGTAGCAGTGGTACTCAGAAAATGTTCCCAGCAACCCTGAATTAGTTAGTAATAAAATAATGGAAAGTCTGGATAGAAATAAGAGAATAATATCCCTCCTATTACAGCCCAGTAATATACCTTGCGTTGTCCTTGAACTCACTGGTGCATTTGTGATGTGTGAGAAATGAAGTGTGGTTTTGGATAAGAGCTGGAGCCTCAGCAGAAGGTGACCTACTTGCAATCTATCTGTCCTGTGTGCACAAATATCTGTATAGTCATGGACAAAGAAGAGATCAAGAAGATTATTTTGGCCCATGACAGTGCATCCAGCTCTGAAAAGTTTTAACTAGCAGTTTACTCTTACAAACTGAAGGATTTTTTCCATGCACAGTGGAGGATGGTGCAAGTATTCCTTAGGTTGCTCCTTAGAGATGGGTATGTCCCCCAGTACAGTGCTTCATGGTGCTATTCTGTTGATATAGCAGAATGGCAAAGACACATCCATCCTCTGAGGAAGTCTACTCAGGTTGGACCTGGCAGTGCGCCAGTGGGATCACCTTGCTCTACTGGTATAGATGACAAAATGAACTTAGGTGTCAATGCTGTTATCCATCATATATATATAGACACACACACATAAATATATAGGTATAGATATATGTCAGTGCTGTTTTCTCTGCATACAGTGATGCAGAGATGCTGAGTTCTGAGCGATGACCAGAGGGAGCTTAGGTAGAAGTAGCTGATGAGGTTACTGACTCAACTGTTGTCTTGGCTTCTGCTCCTCAGATTTTGGAACTGTGCAGTGTAAAACATTTTAAAATTAGTATCGTAGAATTGCAAAGTCTAGGGATTTGCATTCATTCCCCTTGGTCCTTCATCATCCTTGAATAATCTTACGAGATCTGAGATAATGTTTTTCTGTAGAGCAGCTGCCTAGAACTTTTATAATACAGAAACAGGCAAAGGAATAAAACTGGTGTGCAGTCTGCAGATCTGAAAACAAAATCAGACTTAAAGGTTAACAGTGTTAACCCTGGTGGTTTTCTCTTGATTCAGATTACAAAGTGTAAAAGGATCTCCCACTGTAGTATATTCCAGTTCACAGTTTGATTTTGCAACTATTCCATTAAAGTAAGACAAAAGAACTTGCTGCCAGGTTCACTAGAGGTTTCAGATTTAAGCACTGGTATTTTGATGAGCTGCACTTTGTTAGGATATAGTAGTTTGGCAATTAAACTGGCTTTATTTCTGGAGACTGCAGGCACTTATAAAGATTAAAATGAGTTAGATTCCTAATGTGGTTTTAAAATGCATCTACTGATGTAAATTTAAATGAAGTACATATGATATTTTTGTGACACAGGTTTCCTCCAGAGATAGTCAGTCGTAAGTTATAAATTTATAAATATAAGATTCCCTCCTGTTATGAATGTCCCATGTTAATATGTATCTTACAGGTAATGAAGGCAGTAAAAGCAGGTATGAAAGAATACGAGATGGAGAGGTAAGAGTTCTTTCAATAATTGTAATAAAAAGAGAAAGTCTGTCTATAGTATGGGTAGAAGCAATAGCAGAGGCAGAGCAGTGACATTGATTCAGTTGAGACTGAGAGCTCATTGCTGTTTGAAAGACTGTTGTAAGCATTATTTTGAAGAGATACTTCATCAGTTTCAAATATCCATTTGGTGATGGTTGATTATTTTTTGGTGATGGTTTAGTGTAGCATAATTCTCTTCCTGGAGTTTTAGTAATTTACAGAAGCTTTATGAAATAGCTGTTGTAATTGTTTGGAGCCATCCAGTGAAATAGTGTTTATGGATAAATATTGCCCTTATGCTTGTTATGCTTAGAAGTCTGCATGTATGAGTGTTCAAGAACCTTATAAAAGGCTCTGTTCAATTACACTTCTGCAATTACAAATCAGCATTGACTGTACTTAGGCTGTACAAGGAGCTCATCTCACAAATGTAATGGATGTTACTACAGCTGTTAAGAAATCAGAATACAGCACATATCTCTTAGGTTGAAGAGAGCATGATCTACAGACATATAGGGGAAGAATTGGCTTCTCCTTACTGTAGTGATGTGTCTAGATATCAGGAAAACATTGCCTCCTCTTTTAAATCAATATTTACAGTAAATCATCAGCAGCCTGTCTTATAAAGCACAATTTTGATCACCAAATCCATTTATTTTTAGCTCCCATACTGTATTTTTCATTTTCTAAGTATTTGCATAATGAAGAAATAGAAAATAGCAGTGATATCTCAGTTACTGTTGTTTCTTGACAGCAATTTTTCAAACATTAGTAAGCAGGCTAATTTCATGCCCAATGAGGGAAAAATAAAGTGACCTCAGTATTTGCAAGATTTCAAAAAAAACCAAATAATGCCCTTAGAACATACTCGATGTGAAAAAACTAATGCTACAGTTTAAATTTTTACACACTGTAGGCTCATGTCTATAATTTGACTGGACTTCAGATTGCAGTTATATATGTCACCAGGCAACAGGGAAAAAAACAAAACATGTTATATACATTCCCTGTTAACTTTATTAATGAAACTTGTGTGTGTGTTCATTTTACTCACTGCCCACACTATGCATGCTGATAGTGAAATTTTGCCTCTGGAAGTCAATGGTAATCAAAAATTTCCATGGATCAGAGTTTATTCTCAAGAGCTTTTAAATGTCATGATCCTGGTAGTTTGGATTAAATATCATGCAACAAATACACACAGATACATACAGTCTTCTGCAAGTCTGTGAAGTATATTGCATTTTGTCTGCAGGACTTTCATTCTTCTCTGGCTAGCTTCTTGAACACACATCAACCTTTTCAAAAGACTATTTGTGTCTTTCAATTAAAAAAATAAATACATTAGGAAACTGTCTATTAAACCTGTTTAAAATAGCCTCCTGTTCTTCCATATGTCTTGATAGATTACACCTCTTGAAAGAGTCTGAGGTTATTTCACTAATGAAAGAGGTCTTGGCAGACTACCTCTGTGGTGTCTGACATAGAGACTGTAATTAGAACTTCAGTTTCTGTGCTGGTGGAATTCATCCCTGATCTAGTTTCTATTCCCTTATTGTGTAGGGGAAAAGGGTCCTAAAATGTAAACCTGTCATTCCCACACCTTTCTAGCAAGAAATGTGTGGTTGAAATGTTTATAAACTAAATTAGAAAACAGTCTAGGAAATGTCTACTCTGTATGCAGATAAACCCACTAATGTGGTCTAAGAAGGGAGCTTTCAAAGACCTGAAACCAGGTAATATCCAAAGCCAGGCAATTTTCATTGAAATAGTAGTAGTTTGTTGATTTGTTTGTCAAGAGGCTAGGTAGCTTTCATTTGGCAGTTCTGGTACTTCTGGAATTAATGGGTGAAGAGAACCAAAATTCCTAGTCTGTATGGATTTATCAAAAGTATTCACACTTGTATTTAAGAGATCAATTAAAAGTTTTTCATTTTCTGATTCTCTGTGGCTTCCGTTCCCTTTGTGAAAGCTTTCTGAATTGTGTGGCACTCTTCTCCAGGTGCATTTGCAGTTCCCACTGGTGGCTGTGAAATTATCTATTTTTGAAATTAATATAGGTACCTCTGGAAATGTGGTAATAAACCCCTCTCATCTTGCTTTGCTTCATTCTCTGGCATGGTGGAGTACAGCGTGTGTACTTCTTGGTACAAAGCCATTCTGGCTGTGTCTGCTAGAAAGACTAAGTAAAAGACTGGTAAATGATTTTGAACAAGTAATGTGTTAATGCTGAGATATATAAAAATTGAACACATTTAGCTGCAAGTCCAGTCAACCCTGACTTCTGTTTTTTTTGGTTTGACATTATTTAACGTTGATATGTGGTCGGTTGACTTTAAGGAGACAGCCCAGGCAATTATCTACAAGCAGGAATTCACAGCATGTGTAATTGCATATGAAGTCATTTTGGTAGGTCAGATACTGGATTCCTCTGAAGTAGTTTGTTTAGTATTTGTGCTTATCTTATGTTTAATTAGTCTTCTTTAATTAAAGACTTTTAATTAGAAAACTGCTCTGTAGTTAATATATTGTTAAAATACAGCAAAATGATAAAAGAAATCTCTTCAGTTCAAGAAGGATATGGGAAAAAAAAAACAAACTGAGATTTCAGCTGAATTTTTAAAGTGTGTGTATATATAAACAAAAATATTTTGCATATATAGATACATACATACACACTGAAAGTACTAATTGCGACCTACAATCATGTGTTTCTGGATGCTCTAAAGCACCGGAGATACCTTATCTAGAACAGTGTTTATCGGTTGCTAGAGCGTTGCCTATTCATCTGCTTAGTATTTACCAAATTAAGTTTTGAATCTTCTGTGCATTTTCTCATTTGTTCCCCTTTGTATTGTATACAATGATGTTAAGACTGGATGGCTACTTGGAATCGTGATTGGGGAATGTGGTGAAAGTGTATGCAGTAGCAACAGAAGAGCAACTTCCTACGTTGAGTATTGGACATTCAGCTATTGTATACGTAGCCTGTTTTTGTGGGTCTTTCCCCTGTTCTTAATAGCACTGAAGGCCCTGTGATAGGACTGTGTGCACAGTCCTCAATTAGCTAAATGACAGTGTAGTCATCATTGTCTCGATGATGCTGGACAGCACTAAGCCAGGCCTGAAGGCTTGTTCCCATGTCCATGATCTCCCTAGACTGACTGTCTCTGAGCCCTCTGTGACTGCTGATCTCAGGAGCACCACAGTGTTGAGGTGCAAATAACTGTGATTCCAGTTCCTAGGATCCAAACCCTTGGATCCTGATCCTGTAGAGTGGGCTCTTTTAAAACAAAGGAGCAGTCAGCTAGCATGGCGTGCAGTGTCAGAGGTGGGTAACAGTACATTGCATGTTGTTTCCATCAGTAGAAGCTGCAAAGTAAGAAGAATATGAGCTCTTGGGCACTTCTCTGGCACTATTGGTTTTATTAGCAAGTTGCTAGGGGAAGCCACTTTATTTCCACATCTGCTTTCCTCTCTGTAAGGTTTGCCTGCATTTCCTTCTTACAATGTTAAGTGCTTCAGTGCTAAGGTTGATACAAATGGTGGAAGGGAATAGATGTTCCATATGATCTCACAGCAGCTGGTTACCAACAGTCAGCTGGAGAGATTCCTGGGTGTGACACTGGTTCTCCAGATGTGAGCGTAGAGGGAAGGGTTGGAGTTTTTTCAGAGCATGTGCCAGCCAGGTGAAGAGCTTGTTACCCAAAGGTACAGATGCCCCCTCTGTATACAGTGCAGTGGATCTTCTAGGTCTGTACAACCATACAAATAATTGTGAGGATGTTATCGTTGTTAATGCTAAACTTAAACTCTGCTCTGCTGTAACACTGACAATTTAAAGAACAAAATGGCAAGAAGGTGGCTACAGAGGTTTTTCCTTTTTGGTTTACAGTGGTTACAGACTATTTTTACACCTTGCCTCTTTTACCAGCTGAGGCTGATTAAGTTCTTTATCCCTGTTCTTTCTAGTGCTGTCCCCGATTCCAAAGCAGAGCTTAGACTCTGAGATGAGTTGCTGTCATATCTGTCAATGTTAAATTTCACTCTCTGTGGAAGTCTGAGAGTGCTCTAATGGATTATGGCTCTCATCTTTCATTTATCTCTCTCTCCTCTGCTCCAGTGGAACAAACTGAAAATAAAGCATACAATTATTGCACTGGAAAAAGAGAAAATAGCCAGAATAATTTTATTTTCCTTTGGGTAATTCCTTTTGGTGAAATTGTGATTATTTTAGCTGATCAGGATTTGCCACTTGCCATCTGATAGATTTTGCTCTTTGAACGTTCTTGAGAAAGTCGCTGACTTCTGCAGCAAATAATCTTTAAAAATATTTCTGTTTTTTTTATAATCTTGTTTTTGTTTAGAATTTCAGCTCAAGCATAGCCTTTGTAAGTCCTCTACATAAGTGTGTGTGGCTGGTGAGCAAGAGAATGCCCATTGCCATTGACAAAAATACACTGGTGGATTCTTCACAGTTGTTTCTTGCCGTGAGAATGGTGTTAAATTGTGCGATGACCCTCGCCACTCTTTATGTATAAGATTTATTTTGATTAAACAAGAGCCCAGCACTCTATATCAAGCAGCGTGTCAGTCTGCTCAGTCACTGAACTGTGATTTTCTTTTCCTTTAACTTTTGTTTTTAAATGGTAGCATTGCATAGCCTGAAAATGATTTGACTGCCTTGTTTCTCAAAGCTGCCTCCCAATTAGAGGTGATAGGTTTTTAAGTGTAGGTTATTGCTATCAAAAGGCTGGATTTAAAACTTTAAAATGCATTGAAAGATACCCGCAAGAGAGGAGGAAGGTGGCCTTACCCCATGTTTTAAAACAAAGCACCACACCCAAAAAAATGCATTTCTTTTTCTTTCATTTCTGCATGCCTGTATGATAGGTCTGGTGTATCTGCCTGCTGTCTGGATGGGGTTTTTGTATTAAGACAATCTTGTACTCAATATTATTTATCTG